TTCCTTCCTTCCTTCCTTCCTTCCTTCCTTCCTTCCTTCCTTCCTTCCTTCTTCTCATTCTCATCTCCTTCCTTCCTTCCTTCCTTCCCAGTGGTTAGAATGCAGTGCTGCAGGCTAATTCTGCCCATTGCCAGCAGTTTGATGTTGATTGGCTCAAGGTTGACTCAGCCTTCCAGCCTTCCAAGGTTGGTAAAACGAGGACCCAAATTGTTGGGGGCAAGAGGCTGACTGTGTGAACCACTTAGAGAGGGCTGTAAAAGCACTATATAAGTCTAAGGTCTATTTCTATTTGCAACCTTCAACCAAGCAAAGTCAGTGGGGAAGCCAGATTCATTTAACAGCCATGTTCCCAACTTTACAACCGCAGTGATTCACTTAACGGTTGTGGCCAGAAAGGTTGTAAAATGGGGCAAAACCTATGTCTCGCTTAGCAACAGAAATTTCGGACTCCATTATGCTCAGAAGTCAAGAACTACATGTATATGCTGGTGCACACATAGAGATTTACGGTGAAGTGACTCGGAGTCCAGCATTTGAAGAGACAGCTTCGGTCCATATTAATGCAAGCACCCAAATCTCCCATGACAGAGTCCTTGGAAAATCCTCATTGTGTCTCACTTCATTTGACTGGACTTGTCTGCCATCTAGCGGACTCCAGTTGCTTCAAGACCTGTATCTTTATCATAGTCTGTCCTGGTATTTTCTCAACCCTGCCAGCTTTAAGAGGTGTGGACTTCAACTCCCAGAATTCCCCAGCCGGGATTCCGTTCAAAGCCACTGGAAATGTTGTGTTTCTCTGTAGAATTATGTGCCATATCTGCATCTCACGGCAGGAGCATAGTTTGATGCTTACCTCCTGACTAAACACCCCCTATAATATCAACAAGGAAGATGTGTCCGTAGATCATGTGAAATCTGTGCTTGCTGCCTTTGGAAGTCCAGACAAAGAAATCAAAAGCACAAATATGAATACTACCTTTATTATAAGGTCATAGTAAAAAGAATCTTGCAAGTCTAGAAGTCTATTCTTAGGTTTCAGAGAAGTAGGGAGGGTCAGTTCTGAGATTCTTTGTCCATGCCCAATTTTGGATTCAGAATTTTCTTCTCAGGCCATTGTCTAGACTGCAGCTCTTCTTCCTGTCTCCTAAGGTTGTCCTCACTTTGGAAAACTTTGGAAGAGTGAAGAACTTTACATCTTGAGCAGAAATTCTATGTCAGAGAAAAGAAAGTTGGGGGGTCATGTCAAACTCTCAAAGTCTACTTGGAAACTAATGATTGACAACTCTGCGAATTGTATTTCAAAGGATTTGAACCTGGTCACCACCAAATTCAAACAGTAACTTGACTCCGGGAAGAGCCAGTTTAGTCTAGTGGTTAAAGCATTGGGTTAGAAAGGAGACTGAGTTCAATTCCCACCTTAGGCATGAAAGCCAGCTGGGTGATTTTGGGCCAATCACCAGGAGACTGTGAGTTCTAGTCCCACCATAGGCATGAAAGCTGGCTAGGCGACTTTGCGCCAGGTACTCCCTCAGCCCAATCTACCTCACTTTGTTATTGTGAGGAAAATAGGAGGAAGGGGCACCGCCTTATTTAGGAGGAGGAGGAGGAGGAGGAGAAGGGGAGAAGAAGAAGAAGAAGAAGAAGAAGAAGAAGAAGAAGAAGAAGAAGAAGAAGAAGAAGAAGAAGAAGAAGAAGAAGAAGAAGAAGAAGAAGAAGAAGAAAGGAGGAGGAGGAAGAGGAAGAGGGGGAGGAGAGGAGAAGGGGAGAAGAAGGAGGAGGAGGAGGGGGGAGGGGGAGAGGGAGAAGGAGAGGAAGAAGAGGAAGACAAAAAAGAAGAAGAAAGGAAGGAAGGAGGGATACAAATAAATACAATATAAATAAAAGTCAGTAGAACTGGACAACTTGCTGTCATATTAATAGATACTAAATTTTCTTTTTTTTCTTCTTCTTCTCTCTCCTTTCCTCCCAGTGCTTTCAAGGCTTGCCACCCCAAAATCAAGAGCTTCTACTTTGCAACAGATTGCCTGGAAGAAATGAACCGGTAAGTTGTTCTGAGATTCTGCATTGGGTGAGGATAACAGAACAGCAGAGTTGGAAGGGACCCTGGAGGTCTTCTAGTCTAACCCCTTTCTCAGGCAGGAAACCCTATACCACGTCAGACAAATAGTCATTCATGATTTACTCTGATTTCACTCTGATACGTGTAGAGCAGGAGAAAAGAAGGATGGTGTTCTTCTATCTTCAGATACTTATGTTGAAATTCCCACCTCTATGAGCAGATACAACATGACTATTTTGCTGCCCCAGACAGCAGGACTGGACTAACACTGAGGTTAAGAATACCAATCAGAAAGCAGCATCCTGGAATATTTAAAGGTGTATCAAAGAGCTGTGAAATGGGAAACTTCACATTGTGCTTCGGGGTTATCAATCTGCAGCCAGCCCCACAAATGTTGCAGAATGCAATTTCCCAACTTCTAAGTCAACCCTGTCAAAGATGAGACAAAGTGGGAGAGTGCGAGGAACATACGAAGTTGGATAGTTGGTTAAAATTGAATAAATAACACAGAAATTGAATGAATGAATGAACAATTAAATGCAATTTTAAAACTATTATCATCACCAGCAACTATAAATTTTCTACTCACTGCTTAATATAAGGAGGGTTTAAAGCCATTTGAACCCATTTCTCTTTTTAAAAAACCTTTCAATAGATGGATGAACCGTCTAGGTCTGGCTGCCATTGGTTACACACCTGATGACAAGGATATTCGGCCAGATGAAGGTGAGATTCTTTTCTTGATGGCAATGGGATGGGATGGGATGGGATGGGATGGGATGGGATGGGATGGGATGGGATGGAATAGAATAGAATAGGGTAGGGTAGGGTAGGGTAGGGTAGGGTAGGGTAGGGTAGGGTAGAATAGAATAGAATAGAATAGAATAGAATAGAATAGAATAGAATA